AAGTCTAGTCTAGTATTATTAGGGAGCATGTCAAACTTTACATACTCTGTTGACCTCCTCTAAACATCAGATTTCTCTATCTTCTCCATCCTTCTTTCTTTGGTCTTTTCTTTGGTTCTCATCATTCCTCATCAAAACTGTAGAAATAAGGACCAGGCATGGTGGCTCAGATCTGTAATCTCAGCTACTCAGGAAGCAGAGGTTGGGAAGATTATGGTTGGAAACCAGTCCAGACAAAAATTTAGTGAGACCCATCTCAAGCAGTAAGTTAGACATGGTGGCGGCACATCTGTCATCACAGATATGCAGGAGGCTATAGGTTATAGGTAGGAGGATCATAGTCTGAGGCAAGTCTGGAACAAAAACATAAGACCCTACCTGAAATATAACTAAAGCAATAAAGGACTTGGGGTATGCCCCAAGTGGTAGAGCATCTGCCTAGTGAGTGCAGTGCCCTGAGTTCAAACCCCAGGAGTGCCAAAATAAACAAACAAAAAAACTATGGAAATAAGCCCCCTAACTAACCTCACTGCCTTTAATCTCTGTTTTACAAACAAACTTCACTCAAGTGAAGACACAATACTGATCAAGTTTATCCTGTCCTTCAGCAGCTCCTCACCACAGATAGGACAGATCCAAAGCCTGAGCTTGGATTTCTCAGCAAACTACAACCTGAACCCCAACTGCAGGTTTTCCTTATTTTTCTGCCACCTTCCTACCAGTCATGTAAAAAAGCCCCAATAATCATAGAAACATAATGGCATGGTCTTTCTTATCTCTGAGGTTTGTACATGCCCATGTTTCCACCAGGAATTTTTTTCCTCCTTTTTTCTGTTTCAGGAACTCCAGCTCATCTTAAAGGCTACACTGAAATGTTACCTCCTCTTTAAAGTGCCTTTTGTAGCTCTCCAAGAAACAGATGTTCTTTACCCTTCTTTCCCACAATATTTTCATAAACCTATTTTAGCACTTCATATACAATCCTGTAACTCTTTCTTAACTATATTCTGCCACACAACTTCTTTTATGGGTAGAAACTATGTTAGGCATCCTATTCCCAAAGCATAGAAGAAAACCTGATGCATCGTATTATTCTTAATTATGTGAAATAAATGAAAATCATTGTGGCACCCAAATACTGCAGTTAGAATCATATGAAAAATGTCCTGTAATATCTCTCATAAAGACAGATGTGAATGAATAACTTGGGGAATACAGACAGTTTCTGGAACATGAAACTGTGATGAAATGCACCAAATAATGGATTTTTATTATTTGGGGGATTAATACTATTATATTCAGTCTTTCTTGTTCAGTCCAACAGCAAAGATGCTCCAATGCCATTTTCTTAAAAATAGAACTGTCTGGAAAATGCTTCAGCATTTCTGCAAATAGCAGTCACTTTGTTCATATCCTCTCAGTAAGGATGCAAGGGCTTTCATGGAAGGAAGGGGCCAAAAAACTTTGTTCAAGGAAGAGTGCCTTGTACATAGTAGTTGTTCAGTAACACCTGATGAATTATTTAGAAAACATTCATTTAGGAAACACTGAGAGACTTTGAAAATGATAACTTTTGAAGGTAACATTTTCTATCTTAAACTAAAAGGTGGCTTTGCTATACTAACTTAGCATTAGACTTTATGGCGGGCATGCATTGGTAGGTATGGCTGAGACCCAAAACCAAATGGCTGGCAACTGCCTAGAAGTAGAACATACCTATCTCAAAAAAATTACCATACATGCAAGGTAGAAGTACTCCCTACTTATGAAGCAATGGCGGTAATCAGCTTTTACCTGATTCTGGTAGGCCAGTACTATTTATATCTTTTGTGTTATCTCTCCACCAAATGAAAGACTGTGAATGCAGAACAATAAGAGGATTGAGACTGAATTCTCTGAGCACAATTAACTGGTTGGTATAAGACCTGAACTCCAAAATCTTGGTCTCATCAGCTTAGTCTTCAATTGACAGCCTAACCCATCTTCACTGGATTTAGTTCTCAGAGTTTCAGAGTGCAAAAGGACATAATGAAGAAATCTTAGAGATAAATGGATTTGAATGGAAGATCAGAATTAAGGAAGAGTTTGGAGATAGCCAGACACATGGGAAGAGGCTAAAATAATCAGTTCCCAGGATGGGGCTCACCTAGCATTTGACACTGTCCCTGAGGAATGTTAACATTTAATTTGCAGGAAGAATTTCTGAAAAGAAACCATAGTAGACTGTGGCTCAGGAATCAGAAAGGAATTAGAAAACTAGAGGGAAATTGAGACAGCTGAGGGTAAAATTGCTTCAAAAGGAGTTCCTTAATCTGGGTGTGATGGAGCACATCTGTAATCCCAGCACTTGGGAGGCTGAGGCAGTAGGAACACGAGTTTGAGGCTAGCATGAGCTACATAGTGAGGTCCTAACTAAAAAACAAACAAATCCAAATTCCCTCAAAGTGCTTATTTAGGTCCCAAGATGTATATCCCTTAACATATGTCTTCTCTATAGAAGACTACGAAAGACAGCAAGCTCTCTGCTTTCTTAAAGTTTATGATCCAAGCATTTCAGAAGGTTGGGAGCCAATAAAGAGCTGTAGATGTGGCTCCAAAGTGGTCTTATTTCTCTAAGGTCACTGGTTTCATAGGTACAATTTGATCCTCCCCATGGGGAGAAGTGGAGGGAGGTTGATGGGAGTAAAAGAGGTATTGGAAACCTATGATTTAAATGTATACACTTGTTTGCCAACAAAAAGTATAAAAGCAAACTAAAGTGGCTTTTGGAAGGGAGGCTTGTCTCTCTCCATTAGAGTCTCAGACACATTTTAGGGCTAGGTAAGGTGCCAGAAAGAATGAAGAAATAAAAGGGGTGCACAGGATACTTCCATGAATCTAGGATCTGTCCATCCTATTTGTTCTAAAGATAGAGAGTTCACATTTGCAGGAGAACAATCTTCTCTACAGAACCTGGATAAAGGACTCCATCAGTAGTTGCCACCCACGACTGTATATTAGAATCTCTAGGGAAGCTGTTTTTCCATTTGTTTGTTTTTTTAAAAAAGTAAGAAAAACAAAAAAACAGGAAGCTGACTCTGTCAGAATCCTCCAAAGAGTCTAATTTAGTTAGACTGGGTTGGCAACAGTATTTTTTAAAGCTGCAAAGTTATTAAATACAACAAGAACTGACAACTCATCACTGGGGTAGACAGGGAGGGGAGGAGAGAGAGAGAGAGAGAAGTAAGTCGCCTCCTACATTTCCCGTTTAGAACTAGACAGTGTTTCCAAAAGTGAGACATGAATGATCATAGGTGGTTCCTGAAACAGTATTTGGTTAGTACTTGGATAAGCCTTCTGAGCATATATACATATATTTGCATACACACCTCTATCTATATATATGTAAACGCATCAATATATTTGAATATTAGAAGCATGTCACCAGTATAACAAACTGCTCAAAACGAGGCTAGCTTGTAACAAAAGTCTAGAAGGTGAGTCTCTTAACATGAACATTTTCCAAATTCCAGTACAGATAGAATGTCAATGTGGACATGGGGAAAACTTCTAGAAGAAGTAGGCAAACACTGAAGATTGGAGGAACTGGGAACAAAAGGAGCCCAGAAACTTCAAGATCTTAGTGTTCTAAAGGCCTGTTCATCTCATAGCTGTGCAGCTGGTCCAATAACCATCCCATTCTGTTCTTCTCACATGGATGCCTGCCCCTTTCTCAAGCTTCTGAACTGGGCTCAAACTCATACCAGCCTCTTCTAGCCTCACAGTCACTATCTGATAGCTGATGTCATAGCTTGTAACTCGTTTGTGTTTCTTCTTTCAGATTCAAATCTCAGCTAAACTTAACTGAGGGAGGCTTGACCACCTTAGCATAATAGGGCAGAAAACCAAGGCTCACAAGGTGTTCCAGCCCCACAGGCACAATGTGAAACCGAAGTGACCCAAACCCAGGTTATGCAAACTCACAGGAGAGGATGAGGGGAGAGATGAAAACTCCCAATCAAGCAAACAAAATCAGCCTGCAGCAAAGGCAGTGCCTTGCTAACATTTCACTCTATTTGCCATTCTCAGGACATGACGCAACCCTGGTTGCCCAATTTATATTTGCACATTTTCCCCTTGTCCATACGAAGCTTCGAAAGCGTCCAACTCCATAAAATCCCTTTTAAAAAGTGTCTAGCTCAAGAAGGTTGCAGGACAGGACAAGTTTCCCTGCCTTTACCTGGGCCCCACAGACGGTGCTGAGATTTAGAATTTTGTAGGTAGATCAGGAATGAACGAGGTACAAGGGCAGGCAGAACAGCAGGCGACAGCCACGCTTCCATCTTTCCCCCACCATTCTCAAGCCCACTTGATTAGGACGCGCCAACTGTATCATACATACCTCACCTTTCTCCCTGTCCTGCCTCCTGCGCTGTGTTCTGTTCCCCCATCCAAAGGGCGCTAATGATAGCAAGGGTGAGTGGGGGAAAGGCATGCCCAGTCTGCAGTCGCCTCCTCCTCCTCCTGATGCGTCCCGCCCCCGCTTTCCACATCTTGGCAGCCTTGAGGTCACCCAGTCATCGGTACACCTTTGCACCACCCAACAAAATGGCAGGTCAGCAACAGGCGAGGCAGAGAGAGCGCTGGTTCTTTCTCTAGCCAGGGGCGGCCCCTGGCCAAACACTAAGTTCCAGAAGACGCCTCCAAGCCCAAACACCTTCGCCTCTACAAGTCCCTAACTCTCGGCCCCGCGAGGTCTCCAGCTGCCTCTCCGGGGGCCATTTCCGTTCCCGGCGGGCATGCAGGTGCCAGCGTAACAGGTGCCAGGCGGGAGGGCCCTGGCGGCTTCGCCGGACATGGAGCGATCCCCGAGAAGGGACGCAGTTAAAGGCCACCTCGAAGGGAAAGAGGCTGAGGGTGGGCGCAGACAGACACGGGGACACGGCCCGCGCGGGGGTCAAGGATGCCGCAGCCAGTGCTGGCTCCCCGGGGGCGACCCTCGCCAAGACCGCCCCACTTACAATCTCCAGGCAGACGAAGGCGCCAGAGTAGGTCCGCAAGATGTCCAGGCCGGCGGGCAGGGTGACCCGGGGCGCCGGGAAAGACACGGCAGGGTTCGGGGGCGGCGGGACTGACGCTCCGCCGGCCGACATGGTGCCGCTGCCGCTGCTGCGTCTCCGCGCGCCGTCACCGCCGCCTCCCGCCTCCTCCTCCGGGGCTCGGCCGCCACCGCCGCCGGCGCCGCACTCGGGTCCGCCGGGTCCGGGAGAGCGGCGGCGGGCGGGGGCGTGGCCGTGCGGCCCTCCGGCCCTCTAGGCCCCGCCCCGTCACGTGGGTCCAGGTGAGCGCGCCTCCGCCCTGGCGCCCGCGCGGGTCACGTGCACAGGTGCGGCCAGGGCCTGGCGGGGGCTTTCCTGCTGGGTTGTCCTTGCCCCAGCCTCCGCGGGCCAGCGCTCACTGCTCCCTGGAGTTTCTCAGCGCGGGCCGCACAGCCCTGCCTGGTTCTTTATTTCCCCACCTCTTGAGTGTCCACCTGTTCTCTCCACCTGTCTGCCTTCGCCCCCCCCCCCCGACACGCACTCCCACTGCGCATCCTCTCCCACTTTGCATGTGTCAGGGAGACAGGCTTGGAGGCTGCAACTCTAACCCTAAACTCGAGTTCACCAGTCACACCTAAAAATGTGGTGTGCCTGTGTTTTAAATGGGACTCCAGTAGGACTTTAAAAATGCCTCTCAGGCTACATTGCATGTTGGACTTGGTTGGCACAGATCCAACCCTTGTTGGCCCTGCATCCCTGGCAAGTAACCTGCTGCTTTGAGCCTTGCCTTGGGGTCTCCTCTTCCGTGGAGTGGGAACGAGGTATCCACCACATTGTATGGAACAGATGGTAGACCAGGAAGAGTTTAGCGCATGGTAAGTGTTCTTTACAAGGTAGCTGATAAGATGGTAGCTATTTTTTCTAATTTTCTGTGGGCACATGATATTACATAGGGTGTGTGTTCTACATAGAACTTTTAATTCTTGATTTCACCCTTCAAAAGCTTACTTCTTGCCATTAGTTTTTAAACACCTAAAAATATTTATTATTTTTTTAAAGGACTCTGTGTTTTGGATCCCTCACCCTGCTTTATCCCCACCTTATTCTTAGTTTCAATGTCAATGTTTTGTATGAGAAAAAAAAGATGAGATTAACTTTCCTAAAGAACAGCTGAAGATAAGCAAAACTACACACACGCGCACACACAAGTCGGAAAAAATATTAGCTAATATCATTATACCTTCTCCAAATTGAATCCTGTGCTTGTCTTTCCAGTTTGCCTTTGAGGGACTATGTTGAGCTCTATGCACTGGTTGTCAGCAGGTTTTAGTTACTCTGTCTCTTTATTATTTTAATAATCGAAACTCATAGGTGTGGTGGTGTCATCAATGTAAAAACCACAAAACAGGGTGTGGGTGAAACTTTTTGTATGTATCTCCTGTCTTCTCCACATGCCACTCAACACTTTCTGGTGTGTAATGTGTACTGGTTAACAGGAAATTTTAAGTTTTCAACATTGGTTTGTTTAATTAATCAGCCTTGTCTTTATTTAGATCCTGATTGTCAGGGGATGATCTTTTTTTTTAAATTTTATTTTATGACTTAAAGTACTCAATAAGCACTTAAAATGTTTAAAGGGAAGACAAATTCAAAGAATTCATTGGGGTGATGCTTAGTCTAGTGAATGAACTTGAAATGAAGTTGGGATTTCAAGGAGCACTAAAGACTCAGCCTCAAAGGAGATCATTTAAAAAATTGTCATCAAAGAGAAAATTTGTCACCATGTCCCTTCCATCACCCTACTTGCTATATCAGGTATCTCTGACCATACCTAATTTGCCTCTTCCACCTGCTTCCACAATAATCAGCAGAATGAAAATATCGTCATTGAGTCCCTTCCAATTGTAATGTACCTGCTTGAAGATGAGGTTTTACTGGAATAGTTTCCCCCTCTCATGACCACTACCATCATCTGTTTTTTTCTTGATGATTTGTTTTTTTCTAATGAAAGCAATATTTCTGGAATCAAAGGAAGAAAGGTACTCATCCTGCCCCCTCCACCCCTCTTTCTACCTCCACAAAATTGGGCGTTTTCAACATTCTCACTATACATCTACTTTGCTACCTCCAAGGAAGTGAAATCACATCTGGACCAACTCCATTACTGGGAATTATGCTATTGTCATTCCCTCTCATGACTTTGTCCTTTTCATCTATTGTTCTTTCATTACCAGTTCTTTCTAGATACAAAATTGATTAGTTACTCCTCTACTTAAAACCCCTCTAAGATTCCTTACTTTTCTCAGGATCAATTCCAAACAGCTACCTTCCCCACCTTCTAGTTCCATAGATCTACTTACAGTAGCTACCACTCTTTCCTGCCTCCAACCATCACACATTTTCCTCCCTCTAGCAGAACATCCTTTTTTCTTATTACTCCCTTGACCCATAACCTGTTTCCTGGATAATTCCTTTGGGTCAAAGGGACAATTTTTTCTGGCAGCCTTCACACATAGGGCTCCTCCTATCGTGCGTGTTTCCCTAATATGCAGTGCTTACTCCTCAAAGATCTTTTACCTTACTGAATGCAAGTGGTATTTTCACTTGTCTCATATCTCTTAGTGTTATACAACAGGTATTAAATTCAAAAGTTCAGTGGAGGCACTGATAAATGACAGAAATCAGATACCAATGTGAGCTGTGAATCAGATCACCAGAAGTTTTAAAGTGGGATGATTGTAAACTTATTAGGCAATCTCCTCATTTCTAACAAGAATATGAAAATTTCAGGAATAAGAGGATTTGAAAAGAGAATTTTTTGAGGGGTGGTTGTGAAGAAATCACATTTCGCTTTCCTCCTTTATCACCTCCTCTCCCACATTGCAGGAGATAGTTGAACTTTATTCACATTACAAAATACAGCTGACTAAATGAACTCTGCATCTAATTTTCTCTGCATCATCATCATTACTTTCTTTCTTCCTGTTTCTTTAAGTATTTCTTTTCATATGCAAAGATGAGTACTATTCAGCTTTTCATTATTTCCCATTTACATTTTTCTTAGGAAATTAATCCATCGATTTCCACTTCTCTCTCATCACTTTTCCATTTCCACTTTATATTTAATCTTTCTCCCACTACAAACATGTACAAGTATCCCTTAATCATCAAAACCAGGAACACCTGATTTCTGCCCCAAACAGAATAACTAAAATCTGTAGTTCTGTGTTTACTTTCTTTGCACAAAACAACTAAATCCCAGAAGAAATATGTGAAATAATAGTTTTCAGATATTACACATTAAACAGTGCAAAAATTGTGATTCCTAGAGATGAGAAAGTAATTATGAAAGCCATATTATAGTTTTTCCAGTGGAGAGAGTTTCCAGGGCACAAGGAATGGAGATGCTGGTGGAAGCCAGCAGTTTCCATGAGTTGAGGTGGTGGAACTGGAATTTGAGGTTGACCAGGGAGCAAGAAGAGTTCACAGAGTATAAGACAAGAAAGAACTTCAGACAGATAAAATCTCAAAGGTCAGTTAAGCCCTCCCCCCTTAAATCTTCAGCTGAGTGCTGATCAGCACATGAAGGCAAGTAACTTACCCAAGGTGAAGGAAGAACCCCCCCAAAACAATAGAGGCATAATTTCAGGAGTTCATGTGGGGCCATGAATAGTTCATGTTTCTATCATCAGTAGTGGAAAATCTAATTAATAGAGTACTGAGTAGTCAAAAAGTCCAAAAAGTCAATGTTAGACAAAGTCTGCTCTAGTTATATATTACAAAGCTTATAAAAAAATCATAGGTCTCAAATAATCAAATAAAAAATGAGAACACAAAATGCCCAATAAGCGACAAGATAAAATCCACAAGTGTCTGGCTTGCAATTAAAAATCACCAAGCATTCAAAGAAGCAGGAACAATGAAACATAATGAAAATATAATCAATACTATAAACAGAGACAGAAATAACCCAGATGATTTTAAGGTAGTTATTCTAAATGTATTTCATATGTTTAGAATAGTGTAGGAATTGAACATATCATGTAGAAATACAGAAGATGTGAAAAAAGATCCACACCAAAGTCTAGCTATGGAGACTATAATGTTTGAGATGGAAAATACTCTTTAGGTGATTAAGGATAGATTAGACATTGTGGAAGATGGTATTAGTTAATTTGATAACATAAAATAAAAACTAATATGAAATACATGGAAGTAAAGTCTGAAAAAAATGAGCAGAACACTAGTGAAAGTGTTTTAATAAATTCATAATTAAAATCTCAGACAAAAGAGGAAGAGAGACAAAAATATTTGAAGAAACAATGACTGAAATATACTTATTTTTTGTAAATATAAGATATAATAAACTCAATAAATCCCAGGAATTGGAAACATGAAGAAAGCTAAACCAAGGCATGTCATAATCAAATTGCTTAAAAGCAGTGATCAAGAAAAAAGCTTTAAAAAAGACACATTACAAAGCTAGGCCTGGTTAGGCATGTCTGTAATCCCAGTATTCAGGAGGTTGAAGTAGGAAGATAACCAGTTCTGGGCCTGCCTTGAATACATAGCAAAAACCTGTTTCAAAACAAAACAAAATACAAACAAACAAACAAAAGATACATTACATACAGAGCAACAAAAATAAGAATAGCAACAGATTTCTCAAAGAAGATAGTTTAAGCAAAAAGGGAGTAGAATAGCATTTTTAAATGACTAAAAAGAAAAATAAATACTGTCAACCTAAACTTCTATACAGAAAGAATTATTTTTCAAAACTTAAGGTAAAATATATGTTTTTTGTTTTTTGTTTAACTATGACATCCTGGTGTGGATGGATGGCTGGCCCTCCCTTCAGGAGTGGATAGTCATCTCCTACATCTTGAGCCTGGCACTTGAGAAAATACGTGAGGTGATTACTCCAAAGACTTGTCCCACCCCACTGACCACTGAATTCAGCTTCAGACCTTATTGCCCAAACATTTCGTGCAGATGATAGGAGCCAGGGGACTTTTCCCTTTGAGGTGTCACTCGTTCTTCAGGTTTATTCCATTCATTTGTTTCAGATGTGAACATCTCCTTCCAACTGAATTTGAACTTGAAAATAAAACAAAAAGCAAAATAAATGACTAATAATCAAAACAGGTTTGAGCATGTATAAAAGCTATAGCCAATGCTGCCAGCTCCTTCAGATAAACCAGTTACTACAATTGTG